TCACGGCACTTTTCGTCTTATTTTTAACCAAATATGATCCAATCGTCTATCACCATAAGAACATGGACAATTAAAGGTATCCACAACCATTATAAAGGGAATAGGGACGCAGCAATTTTAAGGAGGGGGCGGTGTAACGAGTGTTCTAGTTGGTATGTGTGGCTATTTGCTCACAGTTATAATAAAGTTTATTTATTATTTCACATCAGTCGTATTACAAGAATGGCATTTTCATCATTACAGGGTAACAGGCAAACTTTGGGAATAAAACTGAATTTTTAGAGAATCAAATAGGTTTATAGTCATTTACAATTCACATTATAAATATGTTTTCGTCTATTATTTTAAATAATAGAAATAGAGACGTGAGTATCCTTAAAAATATGCCTATGTACAATTTGATATTTAATTATGTTAAAAGCAATCCAACATTCTCAACATTGAGAACTATATTTAATTTTGATGTAATTATAAACTGCGATAAACACCAAAAAGCTATAATCGTATTACCTAATAATAATAGTAATGATAATAATGATAAAATAGGAGGCGTCCATGACAACGATGATATCTAATGGAAGAGGTACGTGAGGCGAACTTTGGATGATTGTTTAATAACGATATTGTCATGAAAGCCTTTCTCATTTGGCCGAGCCTAAAGAATACATAACTGTTAAAAGATCACAGCATACACTACAATAATCCGAGAGATCTGGAACTAGGTGATGGAGACTGTGCTCACAAGTCTTTCTTTATCTATGGTAATAATACTGCAGCGGCGTATTCTAAGACGGGATAAGTTTTGCTCCACAAATTGTCAATTCACCGCGATGATTTTTTACAATGAAATCTATTTTGCACTGGCACCTTCATTTCAGAGTTTGTATCTCCAGTAAGTACACGACTTATACAATACGTATTATAGATACAAAAATAAATTTATATATAAACCAATCACAATTGGATTAGAAATAAAGAAAGGACAAACACACACGACTGACCTTTGTCCGTTTGGAAGCCCAAAAACTCGCAAAATCAAGTCAAATGACAAAGCGCAACGGTTTTTAAACAGTTTTCATTTGAAGTTAAAATTAGTCTAACAAGGCACACATTTGTTCATAAATTATTCGTTGAAACCCTGTGATGGTAATTCACAATCTTTTTGATCCACGCAATAGCACCATATATTACACTTAAAACACTACCAGCGCCAAAAGCCCTGGATTTTTCAGCCACCCTCACACTTCCGTTCCATCTTCGCCTTCATCCTCGAACAAAGGACCGGTGGATATCCGTTTTTTGGGTTTTGGTGGTGGTCTTGGTGGAATTTTTGTTATTTTACCATCAGGGGTTGTGGGTAAGAGTGAAGAGGTGGACTGTCTTCTCGAGTCGTTATCTATACTTTTCAAGCTGCTCGTATCCGAAGTGTTTCTAATCCAGTTGGGCTTTTGAAACTCGTTTGTTGGCGCACGAAGAGACGCACTATTTTTTGGCAGAGTCGCGGATACTCCGATTGCTTCGTGTTCGGCGATCGGATGCCAGGGAACTGAAGAAGCTGGAGTTGAAGGATTCGCGTTTCGAGGAATTTTAGGTGTGGACGTCTCGCCTATTTTGTTCAGGGAGAGAGCGGAATTGCCCGCCGCCGTCGTGCGTAGCCCTAAATTGTCGTACACTGGATCCACAAACATGGGATTCAACGGTTCGCTACTCCAGCTCGCTCTTGGCCTTCGAGGAATTGTTACGTAACCACCGGCGCGTGGTGTTACCACAGGTGCTCCTAGGGGCGAGGTGAATGGTGACTGCGACCTCGAATATGGAAGGGTTCGGTACAGACTCACCGAGTCGTACAACGGACTGTGGATTGGAGATTGTGGCCCGTGATGTGGTGGCAAACGGGAGTGATCAGCAACAGTGGAAGCTGTGCTTCCTGCTGGAGACACTTGAATTCCACGGGCCGGAAACGCTAACAGGTCAGGCTGTTGATTATCGTTGCGATAGTCTGCTTCTAAATGATGAATTGGAACTCTTGGGCGGCTGTCGAAGTCGAACGAACGTGAATCCTCATCACCTGCTGCAAATAAAACAAATATATTGTTATTATTTAGACTAAACTCCCGCTAAGCAATTGTATCACGATCAGCAATGTTTTGTTCAAGAAATTAAGAAACGGCCATTGTTTTAACAGTAAATATGTATCCTAGCAACTTCTTAAAGGCTTTGAAGCATGTTGAGTGAAGGAATCAGGTAGAAACGCAATCTCCATAAGACAGATTGTAGTCACATTTATCTCTTACTAAGCATTTCCGTTCTCTATCGAACTTAGTAGAAACTTGCCGTCGGGATCTGGGATTCCATAGGCGCCGTGGAAATCTCAGATCCTATGTTTGCCACAATTTCAAGTATAGGTATTGCGCATCTACCTCTATTCCTTCACTCAACGGCATAACAGTCTCCATAAATGTTTAATTAACTTGTGTATGCAAATGTTTTCGTTAAATTTATGGTAGAGTGGCGTAGTGGATTATCGATAGATTTAACTTGGTATGATAGGGGACAATTGGACAATTAGAAATTGGTTATCATAAATGAATTTTGAGTTAACGATATACTTCTAAAGTAATTAGTCGTTTTGTTAGAGGGACAAATCCGTGTGTGGTAAATTCGACTGAGTAAATTCGCCGCCAAGAAAACTCGCCAAGGAATATTCGAACTTGAAAGATACATCCCTTGCAAGTTCACCTCCGAAAAATGTCTCCCTGTCGAAACCGTTTTCCAGCACGATTTAATTCCAAAGAAATTTCACCCTCAGGATACCTAAACCCCAAAAATTCCAAATACGTTTTTAATCACGAACAGGGACAACTGTGCTCCCATTGAACTTACAGTCGTCACAAATAATGTCTTCCTTCAGATACCTCAACTGTAAAAAAAAGTAATAATATGTCGGTGCGTCTGTGATTTAGTTCAATCTCGAGTTCAATTTCATTTCAATCTTAGAGACTTTCTTCAGTTTGAAAGGAATCTCAAAACTGCAAGAAATGGCTCGGGAGATGTGGTATTTTAATTATGTGCTACACTTGAGATAATACTCTAAGGACAATACTTCTGACCAAAACCGTACACTGTATCTCTCACCGTTACGGAGATCCCAATGGTGAGCCAGGAATTACAAAACCACACTGTACTTTGTAAAGTTATCTTTGTATGGAATCCAATTAGACTTCACCTCCCCACAATACATTTCCTATATGTCCAAAATATCAAGCTAAATAGCCTACAAAGAGCTTCCTAAGTCGAATCTTCCAGAGGCAACTTGTGAGGGCGAATTTACCTGGAGGCGAACTTTCTTGAGGACGAAATCTAGGAGGCGAATGTTGGGTTTATTTCAATTAAAGCTTTAATTGACATGAAACACATTCATATTTTGAATTCATCACCTGCTGCGTGTTTAAAACAATCGTGAACGCCATATATGGGCACTTTTTTTCGAAACACCCGAATCTGTTATCAGATTTTCCATAACACGCTAGCGGCTAGATGTAGATCTTCGGACTACTTTCTTATTTCTTATGGAGGTCATATTGGATTTTTACGGAATGAGGTAGAGGAATGTTAATTTTTGTGAACAATACCGAAGAACCCTATAAGATAAAAATCTGATATTCTTCAAAAATGGATTTTAACATGTTAATTTATCAAAAAATGAACTGGAAACAATAATTTGGCTCGATTGAATTGGTACGCACCCTTACTGGAAAAATTACTTTTAGCTATCCCCCATGTGTTTTTAAAAAAATAGAATGTTTGACAATTTCGGAGTACAGATCCGGATTGAAATACTGGTAGAAAAATGAAATAACTCACCTCCAAATGTTGAGTCGTCATCTAATAAAGTCTTCTTAATATCACTGACTTCAGTAATTCCACTGGTAACGGATGGAGGAACGGAATATTGTCGAGGCGGTTTCACTATTGGGTTCACTTCTGTAATTAACGCCTTTTCGTGTTCAGGGCGCCCATTTAAGCTAACGTAGTCAGTCGATTGGCTAGTGTCATTATTTTTTGATCGAGATTGTCTGGACGATCGCTTGCAGTAACAGCACAGCAATATCACTATTATTATAATTAATACAATAGCGCCCACTGTCAAACAAATGTACAAAATCAGGTTATCATTACCGGAACCACTTCCTCCACCAATAATGCCCCCCTTGTATTCACCGTACACCACCAGGGATACGTTTCTCTCTTGCACTCCTCCCGGATTTGTAGCTACACATCTATATTCTCCTTTGTCCCTATAATTAATATTTAAAATAGTCAAATTGCTCCAAATAATGTCGTCTTTGGGTTGCTTTTGCACAACATATTTCTGTTGGTTCTGGCGGGGATCTCGATCTATTATGCGACCGTTTGAAAGCCAGTCAACGTCTGGAATTGGATCTCCTTTAACTTTGCACGAGATTGTGTAATTCCAGTAGGATCCCGTCTCGTACTTCTGATTGCTAGTTGGGTATAAAATTTCAGGCGCACATGCGAAATCCTTAGATTGTAAATCGTTCCACGATCGCCCCTTTAATCGTTCGGGTTGTGCACAAGTAGTGGGTGCAGTTACTAGTGTTTGGTCCATGGCCAGATCACGAAATTTCTTCAGGTTACAGTCACAGATCCACGGATTGCCCTGAATGTTTAAGCTACTTATTCTCTCCAAATTTTCTATGAGTCTATAGTCTAAATGTTCGAGTTCATTTTCGCTTAAGTCTATGTGCTGAAGCACTGGACCGCTATCAAAGACATTCACGTCGACAGTCTGTAGTTGGTTATGCTTAACAGATACTCGTTGTAAATGTGGCATGTTGTGAAACAGAGCTCCCCGCAACTCTTTCAAGTCGTTATAATTCAAAAATAATATTCTTAATTTAGAATTTTCGCGAAATACGGCTTCATCCAACTTTTTAATATTATTCTTGGACAAATCTAGCTCGATAAGGTTGCCCAAATTTGAAAACGCGGTGACGTGTATGTCTATTATATTACAACTCACTAGCTTTAATTTTTGAATATTTTGTAAATTGCTTTCCACGAAAGCGCTCGCTTTTAATTCGTATAGGGCGTTGTGAGATAAATCTAACGAACGTATCTGATCACTCAAATTACTAGGAATGGAATTTAAGGTCTTGTTACTGCAATCCGCCGTCTTCTTGCCATCTGACCACATGCATTTGCACTGACCGCACTTGGATATCCAATCGTCTTCAGACGCGAAGGCCATGGTAATAATGAAGAGCAATCCAATGAGTTCCATTTTCACCACCACGTCACGCTTTATCCATCTGAAACAAAAATCGTTTAAGATAGGGGCACTTCAAAGTGAAACACGAATATTTAGGCTATCCACAAGAATTATACCAATTGACTGCAAAATGTTTAATTAAGTTCATGAAAACGCTTACAAAGGAAATTAAACGGCGTGACAATATAATACTCAATTTCCATCACAACAACACGCTTGAAACAAACAAGTATGCGTACGAACCAACAATTAATACTTGTATTTTAATTAAGTAACCATTGACGTTTAACATGCAGCAGTTGAACAAAAGGATGTAGCGAGGCAAAATTTTAACCTGCTGGAAATTTATAAGAGAAAATGGCGTTTAAACTTCCACCTTCGCCCTCTCCCATAAAAAAATAGCATTTTTCAGTACAGATGTCCACAATAATAATATTCGAGGGGAAGACTTAATTTCTTGTTGCTCTTCTGCCTAATATTACATTTCAAAAGGTAAATGTACATATTAGACCTTCTAGTTCTGAGATTCTTTAATTTTCGAAGAGATATTTCACCTCCTGATTCAGGTGTTAATTAAAAGTGACAAGTAAAAGCTTTTAACCAGGCTTTCGTCACTCTTTTAATAACTTTAGTCGGTGAAAATTGTACCACTGTTATGCAAAATCAAAATACTACTGGAACCATCAACCGATAGGTACAAAAAAGTATTAAGTCTTTCAATTAAAAATTAGAGACATGCCTAAGAAACCTTACCATTTTCATACTCACTACTCTCCTCTTCACTTATCGCAGTAATGGGTTTTACTGCTTCCTTAATAAAATTAGTACATTGATGAACATTATATTATGCAATTCAAAAATCTTGGTTTTTTCATTCTTTGTAGAATAATTTATGCACCCATATACAAGGTTCCTATTAAATATGGAACCAAAGCTCTCCCGCTAAAACCGTTTGAGTTGTAGACATGAATATTATTAGAACGCTTACATTTGAAATTATTTAGATATTTTGAGGTTAAAATGAGTTAAAATGTGCTAATGGCGATAGTTACTAAGACTCGTAGCCTCTTCAAGGATTTTTTGGTAGTAGCGAATTTTTTTGTCTTAATACAATATACATCACATTTAAAGCAATCGACCTTTAACAGAGGTAATCTCACCTTGAGGATGTTTATTACACATATAACCACATTGGTTTCTGGTATAATCGAAAGTGCCGCGTAACGGATCGTCGCTTTAGAATTTAAAAAAAGTATTTTTTATCGAATTTGTATTTTGGTCAACATAAGAACATTTTCACATGTAGGTACCGCTTCATGGCGAACGTGAACGAAAATATGTCTGGCGATAAACAAGAAACGTATTGCGGAAAGCGAGTGCGGTTGGTACAATTTCTTGGGACCTGAAAATTCCGTTCGGTTCTATATTTAAGAGTGTAGGGCCGGACGGGATATTCCCGGCTCTTCTGCAGAAGAATCGCCGCTCTTACATTTGTTGCATCCCTGGCTTTAGGGTATATCTTCGAAAGCGACTTTTTTGCTATATACACGATAAACCTTCTAGAATGTTAAGTATGCGGATATCGGAAACTAGCAAAGAGACAATTGATTGGGGACAGAATTGCACTTTCGCATGTCATTTGTTTCTTGGAGGAAAAACGCACTGATAACTCTATATATTATGAGATACCCCTGTTTACGCCCTCCAACTCATCCTATATTATATCCATCCATCTAATATTAATTTTCCCATCTACCTCCATCTTCAATATACCTTTGCTGCCAGTATCAAATTCGAACAAGATGTGTAAAAATAAGGGAAAGATAAACCCTCATACACAGCTTTCTGTACCTACATTCACAAACACATAATGACATAACTATTTTTCCATAACTGAAGCGCAACAACGCAGCGAAACTCATTCATTAGTCATTACCTACTTATGTACGTGATTTCATAAAACACGAAGTGAAGCTACACAGTAGTCAGTAATTAAATGGAAACATTTCAGTGCATCCTATTTTATACGCGAAAGTTTAGTATGCAAACTTTTGATTCCGTTCCTCAATTTAAAATATGGTCGAAAGGGTTCGAATTAACTAAGTCCTAAAAGTACGACGGCCTAATTTAGCTTCGATAAAGAATGGTCCTTTAAAACTTTTTCTTATAAATGGGATTTAATTTCGGTGTTGCTCTTACGATCGTTTTTGATCTTTTATTAGTGAAATTCCATTTCTACAATTTCACGACTTGCCAGTGGGAAACAATGTGCATTTATTACAGCCATCCGACCCCTGCACAGAATAAAACTATTGGGGACAAAACAGATCTAATGTGGTACGTGCATAAAATACGAAAAGCGAAATAAACTTCGGGCAATGTATTATCTGATTGCAATGTATTTTTAAAGACGGAAAGCGGAAAGGAAAAAGCAATCCGACAGCTAATTACACGGGTAGTTGCCGTAATTATCCACAATCTCGTTGCTTATTTTTCGCAAGAATTGATAGTGTAGATATCTACGAAAGCTCCGCCTTTTTCGAATATATGATTAAATTTCCGAGCACCTCTTCATAAATGAAATTTTCAGTTGAAAAACTTTTAATAACTTTTATTCGTTTTTTAGAGGATATACCTGCTTCCGTTCCCCCTAAATTTATTATTTAAAAGAGATCCTGCTAGAACTCTCGAATTTCCGCAATTTTAAGATGTTGGAATATTACCTTATCTATTTAAATTACATGGAGGATTTTATTCATTAAAATCTGGCTGTACAGATGCAATGCAATTTCTACATTCTTGTTTCAATCACGACGAACAAACCGAAATTCTTTTAAACGAAAAGTAATTAATTAACCGCTTTAATAATGAAATATGTGCGGTTTGTAATGAATCCGGAGACCGGATTCTCATCTGAGATTTCATTGTTCCGAAATATAAATGTTAAAATTAACTTCGCCGACACTAAAACAAACGTGTCTTGAAGTAATTTATTTTAATCAGATTGAGTTTATTTTTACATGGCTCCATAATTAACATTTTTCTTAAGTTTATTTTTCCAGAAGTGTCTGCGATTTTTCATTGGCAACTCCTAATTCACTACGGTCTCCAATTCCATCTTGAAAATTAGGAATATGCATTACATTGCTAGGGTCAGCATAACGCACAATAACTGTAAAAATTGTTGTCAGCTTTTTCTGGGAAAGAGATGGATTAATTAACGAGCCTAGAACTAGTTTCGGATAGGTTGAAAAGAAACACTAACCAATAGGTAATTTAAGTATCGCGATTTGAAGAAAATTTCCGCCAGGCTTGGGTGTGAGAAATTTACTCAGTCATTAAGGAGGGATTACTTTTCGAGAGCTTCCAGGCATTCGCGGTATATTAGATTGAAGGCGACCTGTTAGGACCTAAGAGTTTCCCTTTATCGTTGGGGTGAACAGATTTTTCCTGTAGGATCAAAAATGACCATTAATGAAGACCCAGTTTGAAAAAGCATCACATTCTGTGAAAGAACGGTTTTGAACTGGTAAAATTTAAGTTATACGAGAGAGAACGAAGACTTTCCGTTTACTGTAAGAAATCAGTAAAACATTAACTGTGTAAATTTGACAGTATTCACTGCTAGTTAAAAAGTCCCACCGTGGAAGTGTGTTTCCTGGTGAGTATAATCTCAAACCCCAACAAGTCGCATTTTCCCTGCAAGTAAAAAAAGGGAAAGGAGCCGTTTCTCAATCAGTTTTCTTTCAATGAGTGATTGAATTTGTACCATATTTTCCATATTCCCGGAAATACCCGATAGATATTCTCGCACATTGAAGCCAACAGTTTAAAACTTTGTGTTTTGTATTTGTGCCGTACATCGTTGTATTCGTAATAAAAAATGCTACTTAATTCAGTATGTACTTTTATACGCACCATATCAAAAAATAAAGTTGATGATGATTTCTCCTAAACGAAACGTTGTATTCAAATCTCTTAAATCTCTTGTAGAGCTCAAAAAGTGGCAATGAGAAAGTGTTTCCTATTTGTTTGTGTCTGTTAAAAAAACATTAGAAAAAAATAAAAACGAAATAGACAATTTTCGGTTTTTTGACATATCTTCGGAAGCATGATAATAACTCTTTAATTGAGTATATTTTCTCTAATTTGACCATCGTCCTATCTTCTATATGGTTTCGGAGATCCCCATAATAGACATCCTTATCTAATTTCTTGGACGTCCAAAAAGTACATACTCTATCGAGTTGCATGTTTTTTTATTACGAATACGATGTACTGAAAAAAACACAAAAGTTGGAAACTGTTGGTTTCAACAGGATAGTGCACTCTCGTACAACGCCCTAATCGTGCAAGAATACCTATCGGACAAACTTCGTCGAAAGTGGAATCATTTTATTATAAATTGCACTAAAAGTAATAAATTTATAATTCGTGGACACACTCTGAAGGCTGATTTTAACGTCGGACGAAGTTTCACAGGGATATGCACGCATGTTTCGCTGAGATTAGGGCGTACTGGTTTTTAAATGAAACTCTCTCACTACATTCATTTAACGAAACAGAACGGAAAAGAATAATGTCTCTGTAACAATTCAGGCGTGTTAGTTTTGATATAATTTTAGTGACGTCCGCATAATTTCCATGGAGAATGTGAGTTTCACGTCATATTAATAACGTCACTTAGAGAGAATAATACAAATTTACCTTTCATGCTCCAAATCAAATTTCGCATACCTCACAATATGTCAACTAACAGGAGAGAAGGGTCATGTTTCTTCAAAAACTGGAAGCTACTACCCTTAGCTCTTTTGGTTATTCAATGCGACAAAGGATCGACGCAAACGGAGTTGGGAGGACGTGCCGAAATACGCATTTGGCTTTTGTTTGGCATAAAGTTTAATAAATGTACGTAAACCCAATTTTCAATTTCATAAACAATAAAAGATAAATAACCAAATTTTAGTCTTGCAAAATGGTCGTGACCCTAGCGAACCCTAGGTAAAGAGATTTGTGCGAATTGCTTTTACATTCGGTTAATTCTCCCATACACGCAAACGTATACAATATTGCTTAGGTTTTCTCCCCGGATTTAAGCAAAACTGGAGGTGTTCAGTAAAGAATGGAATGTATATTAAAGGGTGTGCGGCTGCAAAAATACAATTACTACATTTCATCTAAATTGAATTAAGTGATACCACGCTTGTTCTCAAAAATAGACATTACATTTGTTATCAAATCCATTCCGTGATAATTAGGGAAGATAAAATTGAGTTCACGTTGGAGATTTAAAATTCCATGGAGACACTCTTGATTTCTTAAAAAAAAGAATAAAAACCCAATTCGCCGGGCTAGAATCAGAATGCCGATTTAAAATATTCTCAAACTTGTCCGTATTGTCCTTTGTTACATGGAAGTTTTTACTTACGATCTGTTTAAAGTAGTTATAAATATGCAATGTCCTGACGTCTAGGACGTGAGGCAAAGGATGTACCCCTTCAGGGTAAACATATTGGAACGTAAATTTAATTACGTGATGTGTTTAGATAAAATTATGAATTGATGAATTTATAACAATTCTTAAATAGATTGATTTATAACAGTTAATTTATCAATTGCATGTACTCAAAATTGTAAATTTATAACACATTTACAGCACGAGCCTAAATTTCACTATTTATCACTTCGACATAAACTGTAACCCAATGCACCTTTTATAAAGTATGTTTCCGCCACTCATAACCAAATAAAATGAGACAAATTTTCAACTTACTTTTGATACCCAACCCCCTACGATTTACGTTAGGGTTAAGTGGAAGAGCAGACTGTGGCATTCCCGCAGTACTGAACAGTACTGAACTTCGCCCTTAATTTTTGTTGAATAATAAAGGCAATATTATTATTATTTTTTTTTTACCTGGAACCTGGAATTTCAAAGGAACTTAATGAAAAGATAGTGGAAATATGAGGGCGAAGACGAGAAAGGCTTCCCGATCGCGACCGCTTCTTTTTACGCTAATTGCTCTAACCTATAGTGCCAGACATGTTTTGCTACGACATATCGTTTTTGAGAATTATGAGAAAAAACAAAAAATACTCGTATATCATATATCTTTGTGACGCTTCGCCCGACTAACCGAACCGATGAGCGATTGCGTACATTAGTGGGTAGCTTTGCATAATCTTTACCACAAAACCGTTAAAGTTGAACGGTATTGTCTCAACTAAAACTAAGATTCCACTTACCAAAATACCGACATAACATGCCAAGAACGAAAACTATTGCTATATGTTTTGCTTGAAACTATTGCAAATTATTGTAGCAAAAAATTTACTTATGGAATTTATTGCGTGTCTATCAAGCAAATGTAGTGACCAGTGCAAAAAATGAGCGATAAGTACTGTAGGAAAATTTCAATCGGCCAAGGGTATAAATTATCAACGATATTAATATATCCAATATTAGGTTATCTTTTTGAATAAACAATTAAAAAAACAAGCACTTCGTTTATCTGATTAATTTTGTTTTGCGTTTGGTACCGATAATGCATTTCCCTTGGTTACCGACAAAGCAGTTTTAGAATTATTTTGCGACGATACCTGTAGTAAAATAAATCGTCATTCATTCATTTTTGCAAGATTGATAATAATAATTTTATTGAGAGTTCAAAAGTTCATGTTGCTTTTTCTTGTTCGGGGTTATTCCAGTTTGCATCGTAATATCATATTTTGTGATTTAATTACCATCACAGATATTTTTGGCATACATGTGTGGGAGAGGGGATACGAAACTTTTTTTTAAATTAAAATTTCACAAATTATGTTGCCTTTACAAAACAAGCAAGAGACTCTTGAGGATTTTGACACCTTTTTTTCAAAATCCATTGGTGTACGAAAATAAAAAAATTTCAGAGAAAATGGACTGAGTTACATTTCTACATTCACCTACTTAAACCCCGACTTGAACTCTGCATAAATATAATGTACTTCAGTGTATTACCATTTACGTTGAAATAATGCCGACAATAAGAGTAATCCTTCCTGGGTCGGTAAAGAATGCGCGTATATAGCGTCATTTTCTGTTAAAGTTTTGGAAATGCCAAGTGGAACATCCTATACTTAACATTATTCAAAGTTTGATCCGGAAATCTGGTAGAATTTTTTTACAAATAGGCACATAATTGGCGAAATTTTGTTGTAGTTTCTATTTTGTTTATTAATTTAGTAGGTTTCAATTGGTTTCGTAATTTAAGACGTAAAAACTAGGAACCATATGTGGCTAAAGAAATCATTGCGTCCAAATAAAGGGACACAGCCGAGGACACAGCAATAGTTTTGGTAATCACTTTAGATGAGTGAGGCCGCAAATATCCCTTTTACCCTAGCACAATTTGACACACAGTTTTTTCATGGTAATTTTTCATTTCAAAAAATGATTTTCTAATGAAATGCGAATTAGAGTATACTCATTTAGATGAGTAGCACAACTTGTGGTTGTTTTAATTAAAATAGCTGCAACAGACAGACATACATCAAAAGCGCAAAAGTGCACTTTTTTTTGAAAGTGAAAGTGCACTAAAAATGTGGGAAAATAGTAAAAGCTATCTGCAATGGTTTGGCTAGTAATGTTAAAATTATAAAAATGCTCAATACGCACCTAAGCCATGTAAGAAGTCGCGTCTATTGGAAATGTTGCACCCGAGGAATCCAGGTAGAGGGTTTAATTCTGTAACAAAAAAAAACACAGTAATTTTACTGTATAAGTTAAGTACACGAAATATACTATATTCTTATTTCTTTTCCATTTTTCATCATCATCTTCTTCCGATAATATATTGATACTCTGATAAAGATAATTATGGCTGATTATTTCAGCAACAACCAACCAAAATATAATCATATAAACGTTAAAATATACAGAGTGTTGCATTTAAAAGATACCCAGTTTGGGTCAAATCTCAGAAACGTTGGTCGACAATTTGTTTTGACTACGTCACTACTAGATTCTATGTAAAAATATCTAAAATAGGCAGTTTTGCCTTTTAACCACCCGTACGCTAGTAAGGAAGGTATTGCATTGGGGTAAAAAGTGAAAGTGGAGTCGAAAAAAAAAGAACAAGCTTTTAGATCTGCAGCATCATTATCAATTTTAATGTCCACGAGAGTAATTTATTTTTAGAACTAAAATTCGCTGCTGTTTGACATTCGAAAGACTGATACAGGATGTTACATGTAACAATGTACAGGGTGCGAAAACAATTTTTTCCCAAATAAACGAATGGTACAAAATGTTTTGTTTGAAAACTCCTCCTAAAGTGCCCAAAATTAATTTCTTCAAAATCACATAACAGAAAAGACGGAATTATCTAGATCTTTCATTTTGTTTTGTTTGAAAAGATATGTTTCATTGGTCCTATTACTCATTTCTTTTTAAATATTCCTATGACACAGAATGTATAATAATTTAAACAAAATGCTTTAATACGAGTAATAAACGAAGTACGTTCAAAACTCACTTGTAAAGACTCCAAAGACGTCAAAGACAATCAAGAACCCGAAGAGCTCTAAAAGTTCATAGAGACCTTAAAAGACCATAAAAGCTCTTGTCAACTGAATGTATATTAAAGGTTCTAAAAATCTCCCGCAAAACCCCCGGAAAACTCACAAAAGATCTTATTGATTCGGTTATTAAAGAAGGGAACATAAGGCGGGTTTTCATAGATAAGCATAAATCAAATTTTTTGATTCAGCATTAGTTTTACTTTTATTCGAGGTGCCTACATACAACATTTCATTTAAGTGTGTAATATGAAATAACAAATAACAAAATTGGATTGCGCAAATACAAAAATTGCGCTGCGCATGCGTAAGTTTTTTTCATCTACATAGTTGCTCGAGGTTTAATTCATATGATATGATCATATTCATATGATGTTCTTTGTAACAAGGATTATAAAAGAAACTTTTTCTGGAGGTTTGGGCGGTTTTTCGAGGATAGTTCATAATACCTAATAATTCTACCTACATTGGTATGCATCCCTTTCGATATAGCAAAAAATAAAGAGAGTAGCATAGGCAGATGACTGGATGCCACTTTCTACTTTCATGCTTGCCCTAAAAAACGCAGACAAAGAGATTTGAAATGAATTTGAATTGACTCGCCTTGTAATTTTATGCAGTTTATCGCATCGATGCAAACTGAATTGCAATCTGCTTGATTAATAATAAATCAAAGGGAGAATTTCGTTTCCTACCAATTCGGCAGAAATTTAACACGTTCGTAATATGCACACAGCAAACTAATTTAATTTCGTGTTTATGTGTTGTGTAGTAATTAAATAATCTGTTTGTCATGTAGTATAATGTGTACCTGTACAATCCAATTATGAAAATGAACGAAACGGCTTTTTACCTTTTCGTTTCGTGTATATATTTTACGAACGGTACTTTTCGCACTTAAACCTACATCCCACAAACTAGCAGCGACTGAAAATTTGGTTACACTGCAACTTTTAAATATCAATACTGCCATATTCTATGTGTCATATTCAAATTTATTATATCCGTGTTAGCATTCATATAGTCGGTACATAATACAATTTACAATAGGCGCACCTAATTATACTACAATACTATTATTCTTGCGCACACCGCCTAAATAGTAAATTACTACACACGCAATCCGGTTCTTGTGTTTCGTTACTAAATAGGTTTACACTGCGCCTACTAAATACATAGCACAAATTACTCTGGCGTTATTGAAATACAACACAGGGTTTCAAATTTGGTCTATTTTCCATGTTTAGAGGCTTCGTTATTTTCAATGCTCTACCGATTAATATGCAAAAAAATGGTCGATTTATTTAGTCATGGAAACGATGACAATAATTAAAAAATGAAAAAAAGGTTTTCAACTTAAAGGCGAGTAACTTGAGCGCATTTTACATATTTCCATTATTTCGAATAAATTTGCTTCATCTGTACGCGTTCTATGTTGTGTTCAATCGAGCCCAGATTACGACCTAGATAAGGGTTTTCATTTTTCGGTTAGCTGCTGAGTTTTCTCAAATTTAGTAAAATTAAAGTCATCGAGATTTTTCGCAGTAGCGGGTGCTGGATGTGCCCTGGCAAAATTGTAACCGTTTCATATAAAAGCTTTTGTTAGTACCTACCTGTGTTTAATTGAGCTAACTGGACAGGTGCTTGTGGGTGGTTTAGTGATCGTTTGTCATTGCAATATTTTTACCCAAAAGATGTCAAAATCGTTATTTATGCATCCATTTTCTTAGGAAAACGAATAAGCTCGATTGCTCGACGCCCAAGAAGTGATCCATGTGTATTTTTAGCGATGAATACATTTTTACCCAAAAGATATCAAAATCGTTATTTATGCACCAATTTTGTTGAAAGAGATGGGAATTTCCTTAGATCTTTCGAGCATTCTGCCGATTACTCCGAATTATGCTTCCTGCAGTTTTCCTAATTCGTAAGGTAAATACCGGAGTAGTATAGCACAACTTAAAACTTTCTGCAGAAGTACCTCTAAAAAGCATTATGCAGGTCACTCTGTGATTGGGCGCAAGCCTGTTGAGGGCCCAGAACAAGAGAGGGACAATAAATAAATTTTGTTTTATGTAGCGCATACAGCGGTTTGTATCGACAGGTGGGACATAGAAAATCCCGAGGGCAATCCCAGGTAAATTTAAAGGAGGGTAATTATTGGTTTCCCTAATTATTTTAGACGAAAAATCTATTTAGGTTATTTGAAGAGCATTAAAATCCGCAGAATAACTTTCGATGTTTTTGATTATGCCCTTAACGAGATATTGACAAAAATATTTTGTAATTCCTCCTTTCTTATCGCCTCGTATTTACAGGGAATAATAAGTGAGATAAATGTTGACTGTCAAATGAAGTTGTCATACTGAAATTTAATGCTTTATTTTTTTTGGCCATGAATTACACCACTGAAGAGAAAAGTATGTAAATACGGGGCGATAAGAAAGGAGAAATTACAACATTTTTGCACGGACTATGTTGTGAAAAGTGTACTTCACGCACGCCGGTATTTGCTAAAGACATTTTGGCATAAATTTAAAGATTTGTTCTTACATTAAAATGTGAGACTTACTAGTTTACCTACTTATTATTTTCGATCATCACAAATACGGTGTGGATGCGAAAAGTAAAAATAATCAGCCTTCTTGGTAATTTCAGCTCCTTTGGCTTCAATCGATGTTCTTAATAAACCTACAAGCAACTTCATTAAGCTTTTTCGTTAGAACTATTAGTTTTTGACGGTGATCACTTTGACTCTCTAATATAAACTAGAAATTACATATTATCAAAGCGGATATACATGTACTATGCTAAAGAGCTTTTGTGTTTGACCTAAAGATATATTCTAGACGTGATGTTTCTAGAACGGAACACGATCTCTATATTTCATCAAAGCGAAGGAATATACTAACAAGTAACAAGTACAAAGCACAATCACAAGTTACATGCTTTTATTTCAGTAAAAGATTCACGTTGGCTTAATGTACGTTTTACGAATAATATCGGATCATTTTAGAAAGCCTTCGTGATCAAAAAGTTTACTGCTCCAGGAGACGCAACTACTTGACTGAATTTAATTTACCAGTAGTCGAGACACAATCAATAGGTCAGCTTCCATTAATTATTATTTTTGGCGTAAAAAATTTATGAAATGAAGAAATAAAGCTCCTTCGAAATAGGCAAAGAGATTTAGAATTTGCGCAAAAAAGCTCTTTCTGTATAACTTAGTGTCGACACAATTGTAATTTTCAATTTTGATTACAATAAGAACCTTAATCATAAACGTACATCAGGTAGGTAGTTACTAAAAATGTATCAGTATTGCAAGGAACCACTAATGGATGTACACCAAAATTACTAAGTGGTCAACCCCTCGAGGAAGCTTTCATTTACTTTACGGTCACTGTGTCTTTAATTTTGCAAGCAATTTTCAGAAAATCAGAGTGTGAAGTGAATTTTCAGAGGAATTAGGAAAGGAGAAATCTTCCAGTAAGTCACAATAAAAAATTCATGTTAAAGGCCGGAGATCATTTTAAATTCTTGTCTATAAATTTAGATTTATTAAATAAATTTGGTCATTTTTGTTTCAACGAAGGGATGGTCATTTGGTTTACCCCTTAAATTGCAGTAGGCTTTATTGCAGAAGATATTTATCCGTATGGAAGATATCTTGGGATAATGGTTCGACAGCGACTTTTTCAAATGTAAAAATACATTACTCCATAAAGTGTTTATTGACAAAAGTATAGTGATATTCTGTACTTTTGGAACACCTTAAAATACGCGTTTAAGAATTTTTTAAATTATAGAAATATTTATAAATCTAGCGAGTTGCCCGCTTACGAACTTGACCGATACTAATTATCAGAGTGCGAAATTGTTTAAGACTCGAAATATACCCAGAGAGTGAAATGCTTAGGTGAGAATTAGGCGAAACGTCCGGGTGCAAATTTTCGTGATGCGAGTGGGAATTATTCGGGCACGAATTCTCCTACAACCGTTTTGTTGACCTCGGTGTTGTTGATTTTTTATATACGGGGGTTACCTATTAGCAGTTGTGTACAATGTACAGGGGGGTGGGAGATACAGTGTAGGTTAAATGGGACCAAAGTGCCTCTTTTTGTGACTAAAAATCGCATTTGAAATTTTGAAAAATCTTGCAAAATC